TTCGTTTACGTCATAAATCTCCTGGTCAAGCGGTGGTTCTGACCAGGACATTGTTAACATTTTGCCATATGCTATTGTAATTTGTACATAGATTGACGTCCCTGAAGGTTTTCATTTCCTCGGAAATGCCATTTGTATCCTTCATCGGTCATGATTTGTATGAGGATATGTTTTTTTTTTTTTTTGGGGTGGGGGGGACATTCATCCCCTTTTTTCAAATCCTCTCTTCTGTAACTTGCCCGTGATTACTAATTTGCTGCTGCTAATATCACTTCAAGGCTTGGAGAAGTGCTCAACAGAATGAAAAGCTCTGTCTTCGACATTCAAATCAAACAAAAATAGTTTCTGCTTTGTGTTAATGAGAAGATGAGAAGGTAAAAGAAAGGGTTTCATCTCACAACTTGTCAAAAACCAAAAGAAGTTCAATTGTAAACTGATTTTTGGGCAGTCACGGATTTAGTTGTTTAGGGATGGTCCCATGGAGGAGCTAATTGTAAGCTGACACAGCTGTTACCGGAATTTAAAATGCATAATTGTTTCCAAACATTTCATTAGAAGGTCTTCAATATGAAAGATTAACACATTTTGTACTATTTCATAATGGTGCCAAAACCATCCCCATGCCTCAGAATTTTATCAGCATCCAAAAATGCAGAATGTTACTAAATGTCTCTATGTTACTGATAAGTTGTGCAATTAGGTGTTGGTGACTTGGTTCAATTGCTGGACTTAGTTTACGTGTCGCAGTCAGTCATCTCTTACGCATAATTGATGATTCTGTCACATCAATCTCCTAACATCACGCTTTAAGCTTCAATCATGGGGGGAGATGGATCCTTTTTTCTTTCTGAATAATCGGAAGTTTCCTTCACCGAACCAATTGTCTGCAAATAGCCCAAGCAGTGAAAGAAGAACCCAGAGTCATGTTCTGTCTTGCATGGGAAACTTTGCCGGTTGCATGTTTTTTCATGCACTGGCTTCTATTGCCATCACTGCTTGGAAGTTATAGGGTCATAATCCAAAAATGACCATCCTCAACAATGTTTCGTGAATTCTTCCAAGGTTCTAACCCCACTGATCACAGGACAGAGTACTGGTCCATACAATTACAAGTACCGAAACCCCTTTTCTGTTTTTTTTTTTTTTTTAATTCCCTTTCAATTATATGAGAATTATATTCTAGTGCATGACGTAGGACCCTTAATGGTGTCCACTCGACTCGTCCATAATTGATGGCCTTAATATTGGAGATTATCCTCCCACAAACGCAAGCTGAATCTCCCTCTAACTTTGTCCATTTGATGCACATGCACATGGGGTCTCATTGTCATCCAAACGGGGTCCCCTACTCGATTAAGCTCTCAATGCTTTTGTTTTTTTCCCTGGCTTATCAGATAACATAATCTAATTACCTTAGCCGCATAAATAAAGCAGAATGATTCGCTTTTATTCCATTCAAAATGCTAGGCTGCTAATGCTATATATGGACGAGTGGGTTTGTGACGTGCCATGAAACAGAAACGTTTTTAAAAAAGAGGGCCGTGTCCTTGTGAGAAATCTACGTAAGACAAAGCACAACAGTTCAAATTTTTCTTGTATTCTTTTATGGTGTCCCGTGTCTTTAAGTGACAAGTGTAAATATAGTGTCTTGTAAAGGTCTTGAATTGTTGGGAGCCTTAGATTCGGATGTTCATATTCCCCTAATAATGTCGTTTAGGTGTCTGCTTACTGAGAGAAGAATCAATCAGGAATTGTTCACCGATTGATCGTGATGAAATAAGCAGAAAAAGTAATAACCAGCATAAGAATCGCTGATGGTTTTAATGATAATGATGATTTTGATTTTTCATTTTAAGAAGACAAGCTAACGAAGAAAAATGAAAAAAATAGTACTTTTCCGGAAATATTGAAATAACGACGACTTGACTGCTTCAGTGCACAGGCTAAACTTCTGAACGTACAAATAGGGAAAAGCCAAAAACCGTTGGTGTGATCTCTTCTTCTTCTTGTTTTTTTTTTTTGGCCCCTCTCTGTCCTCCAGAATTGATTGATGAATTATTGGAGGTAATCACGGAGAATGGTGATTGATTGATGAGGTTTCGATTAAATCAACTCTCGTTCTCTCTGACAAGAAAAATGTTGCATTTTTATTTTTATCATGATAGTTTGTTATTGGCATAAATGAAAATGAAAATGGGAACGGCAAATGTTTTATGAAAAGAAGTGACATTTGGTCTTGTGTTTGGGGGGACAGAAATAGTATTTAGGGAAAAAAAATCATGAAATGATGATATTGATAACACCCCTATTATGAAAAATTAAAACATCTTTTATTACCTTATTTTAATATTTTAAAATATATTTTTTGCATCTACTTAATAGACTCGCCCTACAGTTCGATGGAGGCGGGCTTCAATTTTCAAGTTTTCTTTATTAATGTTAAATACATGTATGTCTTTATTGGAAGCTTGTTCTGTCAAATGTTAAATGCGGAGATCTCTTCCAATAGGTGTTAGTGATGAACTCTTTTCGCAACACCTAATCCGATGGGTTTACTTTTCAAGTCTCGTAGTGGCACTGTTTTGCGGTTTTTGGTTTATTTGCAGGACGAGACGGTGGAAAGGAAATGCACATGGGGCGTAAGTTGAAATTATGAATCCTATAATGATCAATTATCCAGATGTCTCGTGTCATTTGTCTCCTCATCCAATCAAATCGCGCATATTTAGAAGGTAAGGTGTGTTCCCCTGGCGTATATGGTGTGAATAATCAGTTCTTTCAAATTAAATTTATCTTCCACCGCATTAACAAATCAATAATATTATCCTTTTGCCTCACAGTTAAAGAACGCAATCTCCTAACACCACGGAATTAATAAGTAAATTGCTTTTGGTTGATTTTATATTTCTTAAAAAGTTCTACTAGGTAGAGAAAATACGAGGTTCATCTTCTTCATAAATTAAATTTTCTCAGCACAAGAAGTAAAATATACTTCACTATTTTTTGAGAAGACAAACATCTCTTTTCCTTTTTTTTTTTTTTACCCCTGAACCAAGTGTGTCCTTGGGTACTCATTGATTTTTAAAATATAGTGTCATATATTTATTAAAATTGCAATGCATGGTTTTTTTCAGAATTATTTTATTTATTATATCAATTTTGAAAGGTGATGATAATGAATTAAAGGAGGTGAAACCCGCACCAAAGATTGAGGGGAAAAAGTGTAGAATGATGGTACACTTCGTGTTAGGCGAAAGGAAGGAACATTTGGAGAAACAGGGTAGAAGAATTGTTATTTGTCTATTAGTGAATGAAGGAAGCCAACTTAATGAATGGGTTGGGGTGCTGTAAAGAAAGGGGATGGATGTGTAGGAGTAGGACACACATGTTGGGTTCATGAACACGTGTGCTTCTCCGTCAGATCAAAAGCTGTGAACCAAACATGCCACGGCCCTGTACCCAACTCCAAAATTCTCAGCCACGGCTCTTTCTCCTAATATCAACTTTGTCTCCCAATATTCTTACTTCAACCTCTGTGACGCGTAACCACTTCCTGTCTTCCTCATCATGTTCTTCTCTCTGCTTTGCTTCTGTTCCCTTCTTAACACGCTTTAACTCCTAGAAAAATGGAATGCATATGACTTCATCCTCTCTTACCTAAATGTATGGCTGAGTATAAGGGCCACATCTTCCAACTCTGCTCTTTTTACCTCTTTCATGAACCCTTTCACTCTCATGTTTTCCAAAGTAAAGTGTTTGGTTTGCTTAAATTCTTATACCCTTCGTAGCAAGTCTAATTGGTGTCAGAACCCAAGCCTCATTCATCTCTCTCCAGAACATGCTTGAAAACGCAGACAAAGACAAGGGATCATTATTTATGAAGAGTTCTTAATTAAAGGACAGGACAGTGCAGAATCTTCAATGATGCTTCACTTATTTTCAGCTTCTAAGGTGCAGAGCATAAGATTCTGTCATAAACTTCAACTCTCAATCATTCAGCGTTGTTTCTGTGACGAAGCCAATTGTACATATCCAGTTCTGCTAGGAGGTTACTGTATTCAACATGTTTCTTCGCAGTCATATCCCACCCAAACAAAATTTGGACGATACCACATTAAGGTAGTGTTTGGATAAAAACCAAACCATGGTTTCAGAAGTGCTTTTACGAATTACGAAGTAAATATGTGGAAGAGGTTATCTCGTTTTGCGGAAAAGTGCTTCTGAAACCACGGTTTTGGAGCACCCAAACAGAGCCTAAACCTAAATTCACAGTTTCCTTTCTTCTGCAATCTCAAAACTTGAACTGAGCTGTGAAATACAGATATCTTTACTGGAACACGACTCAATTGCAAGATCACTTTGAACTACTACGTCTACGCCATTAAAACTGCTATTCTGTGCCTGTACGGCTTAGATAACCCAAGTGAAATTCTACAGTTTAGGCCAAAGCAGATGACACTTTGAGAAAAAAATTTTTAAAAAATTATGTGAATGATTGTTCTAACAAATTACATTCAAAAACAAAAAAAAATTATTTGGAATAATTTTTTAAAAATCAATTTAGATAACTAAAAAACGATGTAAATGAAAGTGAGCAATCGAAAAAGTAAGTATAGCTGTATAAGACACAAAATGAAAAGTAGGGATTTTATGAAAAATAATAAAATAAAAACATGTAAAAATTGTTTTTATTTAAAAAAATATTTCTAACTTTTTACCAAGCATTTAATTGAAAATTAACCATTAATTTTTTTTGTTTTTAAGTTTTTAAAAACAAAAGTTGTTTCCCAAACGAAAAGTTAAACAAGGCCATGGTTTTCGTTCCCACATCGGTCATCAACATATACTAGCTTCTTATATTTTTTCAGGCCATCCAATTGGGCTTGTCTGACAATGAAAATACTAGTCAAGAGTTTTCACAAAAAAAAAAAAAAAAAGGCTAGGTCAAGAGGGAGTTTTCTCCATAAGCCTAATGCCTTTTGCAAAACCCTAGTTGTCTCGTCGCCACCACCCTCGCTTGCTTTCGCATTTTTTCCAGGAGAGGCGTCATGGGGCGGGTCATCCGTGCTCAGAGGAAGGGTGCTGGTTCCGTTTTCAAGTCTCACACGCACCACCGCAAGGGTGCTGCGAGGTTCAGAAGCCTCGACTTCGGCGAGCGAAATGGGTATCTGAAAGGTGTGGTCACCGATGTCATTCACGACCCTGGTCGTGGAGCTCCTCTCGCCAAGGTTACATTCCGCCACCCCTTCAGGTATAAGAAGCAGACGGAGCTCTTTGTTGCTGCGGAGGGTATGTACACTGGCCAGTTCGTTTACTGCGGCAAGAAAGCCTCCCTTGTGGTTGGTAACGTGTTGCCGATCAGATCCATCCCCGAAGGAGCTGTTATTTGCAACGTCGAGCACCACGTCGGTGACCGCGGCGTATTTGCTAGGTGTTCTGGCGATTATGCTATTGTTATCAGCCACAACCCAGATAACGACACTTCCAGGTATCCGTCTCTTCCCTTTTTCCATATTCCAGCTGCGGTTCTTGCTATATAAATTGTGAATTGTTGTTTGATGGTGGGTCGGTTTCATGAAATGTTGAGCTTGCGTTGATTAGTCTGTAAAACTGCCCTTCATGAGCATGGGATGCTCATATAAAGTTTAGATCAACGATGATAAAATTGAGCATTGTATGCTTCAATTCATAATTGAAAACATCTATTGTAGATCGAAACTAAATATTGATCCTTCTTATCTAATTAAGGATGAGCACAAATATGGATCTCATGTAAATTTGGATTTGACCAATAAAACGATGGTTTATCCAGTATTTAGTTTTTATTTTTAAAAATAATATACTTTTTGATTGAGTACTTCTGTTTTGCCTCTTGCTTTTTTAAAGCACAATGATCTACATTGCCATTACGAGCGTCCTGTTGTGTCTTTATGGAAATTTTGAAGTGGATTTGCGTAGTACTTATCCAAATGTTTCAATTCTTTAGCTCAACTTGATTGCATGCACTATTAGTGACCACTGGCAATTAAAGGATCAGAATTGAGTTTGTTCTCTAAAGTTTAGGTCATTTATTAAGGATTTTCATTATTGTGAGGTAAACATGTTATTGGTGAGAACTATGACAATATAATTTACTCCTGTCTTCTGACAGGATCAAGCTTCCATCTGGTGCAAAGAAGATTGTTCCCAGTGGCTGCCGTGCCATGATTGGGCAGGTGGCAGGCGGAGGGAGAACAGAAAAGCCCCTTCTTAAAGCCGGTAATGCTTACCACAAGTTCAGGGTGAAGAGAAATTGCTGGCCTAAGGTTCGTGGTGTGGCTATGAACCCCGTGGAGCATCCTCATGGAGGAGGTAATCACCAACACATTGGTCATGCAAGTACTGTCAGGCGTGATGCTCCTCCTGGCCAGAAGGTCGGTCTCATTGCTGCCAAGAGAACCGGTCGTCTTAGGGGGCAAGCTGCCGCAACTGCTGCTAAGGCTGATAAAAGCGCTTGAGGAGAGTCCTAGATTATTGTTTATTTGCATTCTAGTAGAAAGACAATATAATGCTGAATTTTCAATCATGTTTCACAACCCCCATTCTCATAATTTTAAGCTTTTCTCAACTTAATGATTCTAGAGTAAGCAAAATTTTCAACCAAAAAAACTAGTATTTAACTATCCCAACAGTTATCCTTTCAGGGGCAGCTTGCATTTGCCTCGGGGCAGTAAGACTAAGACTGTTCTCTTTAATTTATTTGTAGCTTAAGGTGTCATGATAGCAAGCTCATTTTTTAGCTCTTCTATCTTTTCCTTTAAGAATTTATTTTCAGCTGCTACTGCTCTACACGTGTTCCAAGTGACTCGTAAGATTTTCTTCGACATTTCAACTTCAGCTCTCAGTCATGCTGAATGGTTTCTGTGATGAAGCCAATTGTACATATTCAGTTCTGGCAAGGTTCCTGTATTCAACATGTTCAGCTACCGTATCATCTCTTTCCACCTCCACCTTCCCAAACTCGCCCAATGAAAATTTAGATGATACCACATTAGACTTACAGTTTTTCCCTTCTTTTGCAACCTCAAAGCTCGAGTTGAGTTATCAAATACAGACGTCTTCAGAACCGCAACTCAGTTGCAGATCATTTTGAAACACCACGCCTGCACCATTAAAACTGCAATTGTATGCTCTCTTGCTTATACGTACTGCTTGGATAATTTAAGTGCAATTCTACAATTTTGGCCTAAACAGTGGAAAGTGTGAGAATATTCTCCAAACTTGTTCTAGTCACCGTGAATTGACTTTTTCTGACCTGGACCGTGAATTGCTTTGAACTCTTCCAGGTTAAGATTAGGGGTGCTTCAAAAACACTACATATTTATTCTGTATATCATAAAATCATTTATGAAAAACTAATTTAAACACCTCTTCATTCAATTTAATTATAACCATTGCCTTGGAGTCAAAAAGCTTCTATTAACCCAGAACCAGTGGTAGACCGTCAGCTTTGCCAACTTCAGCCACTGAGACTTAAATAAAGTGGTAAGTTTGTTAGGGCGAAAAGAGACAAGTATTGCATCTTAGAAAATTGTGAAATTATCAGTGATTTTTCAGTAGTTATCTTTCTATAAGTTTCCAATCGAGGAAAAAAAATGAGTATTAAAGGCCGAAGATAAATACTAAAAAAAAATTTCAAATATTGCGTCAAATCTGAGGTAGTGATTTTGGCATCAATAGTTATATTTTTTCTAGTCCTTAATATAAGAGTTCGGTAATTAATTTAGAGATACTTAAGCAATTAGTTAAATTAATTATTTATCATAAATATGTGTTGACCTCTTTAAACTATTATTTTCAATCATATGCATTGAATTATTAGAATTATTTCTTGGCAGAAACCCTTTACAATCAATATGAATAATTGGGGAAAGATGCAAAATAAAATGAATTAAGATCTTATATTTAGAATTAAATTCAAGTCTCAACTAGATGTTATATTAAAAATAAGAGGTAATAGTTCTAACCAACAAGGAGGAACATTTTTCTCAACTCGTAAATCTTTTATTTCCGGCTAAACAACTTTATTCCTACTTTTTTTTCACCCAAATTCCTACTTTAAATTTTTAAAGAGTCACATTTCCACATCCACAATTGGTTAGTCTAATTAAATGGTACTACCTCTAGTTCTTAATATAAGAATCGGTATCTTGTAAGAATTTTTTTTTTCAATAACAAAGAGGGCCAAGGCCCAAAAGAGGAAATTAAATTAGGTAGGGATTAATTCTCAAACCCTCTGCTTCCACAATTACTCAAAGATCAGATGGGCAAACATCAAAAGATAAGGACCTTGTTACCCCTTTCTTTGCCAGTGTGTCTGCAACTCTGTTACAGTCTCAAGGAGTTCTTTGAAACTTTACTTCCCAGCTGTAATTGAGAATGCTCTGTTTGATCATCAAACTAGCTGTTTTGCCTGGATTTTCTTTCAACACTAAATCAATGACATTCTTAGCATTCTGACTCGATCATAGTCTAAACCCAATTGCCAACAAAATTTAGACCCTTATAAATGGCCCATTCCTCAACCTCAGAAGCATTGCAATTCCCGATGTTATAAGTAAAGCCAAAAATCTAGCCACCACTAGAATTCCGTATCATCCCTCCACAACCAGCCCTTATTTTGCCATACCACCATCAACATTGATTTTATACTAGCCAAATCGTGGGGGGAGTCTATTGCAAGTTCATCCTGTCTTTGCCATGTTTTCCAGAAAGATTATAATCTCGCTGCATAGTATTATTCTGCCATACATTCAAAAGAACATTTGCTGGGTCGCAAGGCTTTTCATAGTTTTCGATAAAAGTAGCCTCATTCCTCCTCCATAGTTTCCAAACAACCACACCCCATAATCATTCCCAATCATCAATTCCATTTTTACCAAAATCATGAGTCAGATTAGCAGCAATCCAATCTTTGAGAGAACAATAAAAGAAGCAGAATGTGTACCTTGGATGTAGAAGATGTAGCCACATGGACTTCGCATAATTAGAGTATTTTAGGATGTGCAAAAGAGATTCCGGTTCAGTATTACAATAAGCACGCAAATGTGATACTTGAGACCAGTTGCTCCACCAAACATCTGCGAGGAGCCTATCATTAGAGGCCTGCAAAAGAAACATCCGGATCCTCTCTGCCCCTTTCCACTTCCAGATACGCTTGTAAACAGGACTATAAAATGAGATAGGATTTTCTTTAATCTAAAAATGAGCACTTCTAATGCTAGAGTGCCCGTCACATGCAGCATTCTAGACCATAATATCATTTCCAGCTTCTTTCAAAGGAGGCAAGAGACTAGTGAGTTGCTGAATAACATCGTTGTTCATAGTCTTTTCCAGCCTTTGAAAGTCGCAACCTCCATTTAGAGTCCAATCCATAACAGAGCTTCTATTCTCCTCTGCGGAAATCTCCTTCACACACATCTTTTATTTTTTGATTTGAGAAAAGCCAATTATCGTTAAAGAAATTTATGAGTTTTTTTGTTTTGCAATTGCCATTTAGGGGTGTTTGGATGAATGGAAAAGCATTTTTCAGAAAAATATTTCTATAAATATCCAAACAAAACTCCTCTCACATACTTATTTTGTATATCATAAAATTATTTTTAAACCTTAAATGTTCTTGGTGTCTCAAACTGCAAAACAGAGGTTTCAGCCGAAGGCCTACTCTATATAAGGGGGTGTTTGGCTTTTTTGCCAAACCATGGTTTGGTTTCCCAAACCAAGGTTTGGCAAAAAATTTGCCAAACACCTCTTTTTTTTTTTAAAACCAAGGTTTGTGGCAAAACCTTGGTTTTGGCCAACAAAACCTTGGTTTGGGATAAGCTTGCGAGGTAGCTTCTGGGGGGAATTATTGGCTCCAACGGTACATTAGCTCACGGTTGCAGATGTCCGTTTAGCTTACATTAGCTCACGGTTTGGCCATTCAACCCGGAACGCCTCTTCTCTCCCATTCATCGCCGTCGCCAGAAGGGGCCGTAGTGAGCGAAGGCCATGTCGGCGCGGTCGTAGGTGAGGTAGCTGATGGCTATGGTGGCGAGTCGGTTGGAGAAGATGTTGTCATGGACCTAAAGAACTTGGCGAGCGGCGTCGGTGTCAGAGATGGCGACCATGCGGAGGAAGCCCATTGAGGTGGAAAACGTCGCCAATTGGGAGGCGAGCTTGGCTAGGCATCTGTGGGTGAGCTGGTCCATCATCAGCATGTTGCCGATGATGGGGAGGCCTTTTGGCCCAGGCGGGAAGGGCGAGCACCAGCGAGATCGAGCGAGGAGGCCAAGGAGTAAGAGGAGCGGGATGATGAACAAGAGCGCCAATGGCAGGGGCTGGTGCAGAGAATCCATTCGTACGGGTTTTGAGGTGCTGCAACTAGGAGTGTTGCTGAGGCGAGGGAATATAATGTGCCTTTATATAAACCCCAACGCAGCTATATAGGAGTTCCGGTGAAAAAAAAACGCAGCTATATAGGAGTATTTCATTTTTCTTTTTGAAATTATTAATTGATTGATTCGCTGATGGATCCTTGTAGATAATGGAATACAATTTTATTAAAGCATGTGATCGCATAATTAAGGTGAATATAATACTATATGTTAGTTAATATAATTAACCGACGAATTGTGATATGAACATGATATATAAATTAAAATGAAAAGGGATTTCATCTTTAAAATCTTTAAGAAATAATAATATTTTCTTTGGCAAAATAAATCATTTTCCTAAAAACATATTTATTTATAGGATTAATATATATACACACTAATTTTTTATTATTTATATTATTTATATCTTATTTATTATGTTGCCAAAATATATATTATTAATAAATTTATTACTTAAAATAAACATATATTATGAAATATATCTTATATGTAATTATCATTTAAACTTATGTTCTTTTTAGTAAATTTCACATACCAAAAAGCACTTCTGACATTAATTATCCAAACACTCTCACTTTATCAGAATCACTTTTTTAGAAAATCTATTCTTTCAGAATCTATTCTCTCCAAAATCTATTCTCCATAAGCTATTCTGCAAATCATGGTTTTGCCTCATCCAAACACCCCTATAGTTGGGCCAGTCGACCAGAGATGAGAAAAGATTCCATGTTCGTTCCGGTAAGATAAGGCTTTCATGTTGCCGTCATCAAAACATTCTTGGGCTGGTCTTTTTTAAAGGCCATACAATTGGGCTTGTCTTACAACGAAAAACCATGTCAGGAGTCCTCAGCCCACAAAACACAAGAAGCTAGGTTAAGAAGGTGTTTTCTATATAACCCTGCTGAAAAAAACCCTAGCTGTTTAGTTCCCCCACCCTTTTGCCTTCGCGTTCGTTCAAGGAGAGACGCCATGGGGCGGGTCATCCGTGCTCAGAGGAGGGTGCTGGTTCCGTTTTCAAGTCTCACACGCACCACCGCAAGGGTGCTGCGAGGTTCAGAAGCCTCGACTTCGGCGAGCGAAATGGGTATCTGAAAGGTGTGGTCACCGATGTCATTCACGACCCTGGTCGTGGAGCTCCTCTCGCCAAGGTCACATTCCGCCACCCCTTCAGGTATAAGAAGCAGACGGAGCTCTTTGTTGCTGCGGAGGGTATGTACACTGGCCAGTTCGTTTACTGCGGCAAGAAAGCCTCCCTTGTGGTTGGTAACGTGTTGCCGATCAGATCCATCCCCGAAGGAGCTGTTATTTGCAACGTCGAGCACCACGTCGGTGACCGCGGCGT